TAAATAGCTAGCTTAACTTTCTAATTCAATGCATCAATTCTTACATCAATTCATATATTCATTCCTTTGTTTTTTTCTCTTACGTAGCATATATATATATTATATTCATTCTTTATATTCTTTTATGTTATAATATATATATTTCCCTTATTCCTAATTCTTTTGTCATTATTTATATTTTCCCTATTATTTAACTTCTATAATTCTCAATTTTCGATTCTTCGCTTCCGCATTATTCCGCTATATTCCTAACAAGTGGTATCAGAGCGGTTTAATTGAGAGTTATTTTCAAAGATGTCAACTGTTACCAAGTTCGATATCGAGAAGTTCGACGGGAAAATTAGCTTTTCTATCTGGAAGGTTCAGATGGAAGCCGTTCTAACCCAGAACGGTTTGAAGAAAGCGCTAGCTGGGAAGAAGAAGAAACCGGCTACAATGACAAATGCAGATTGGGAAGATCTGGATGACAAGGCATGGTCAACCATTCTTTTGTGCCTGTCTAAAGAGGTTCTACGTGAGGTGTTAAGTGAGACGACTGCGTCAGATTTATGGTCCAAGTTGGATACGCTTTACATGGCCAAAACTCTGGCGAACACGCTACGCCTGAAGGAGCGTCTGTACACAATTCGTATGATGGAAGGTACTTCTATTAAATCTCACTTGGATGAATTCAAGTCAATTTTATTGGACTTGGAAAATATTGATGTCGTAATTGAAGATGAGGATCGTGCTGTTTTATTGCTTGTCTCTCTCCCTAAATCATACAAGCATTTCAAAGAAATTATGCTGTATGGTAATAGTAGTGATACCCTTACTTTTGACAATGTTAAGTCAAACCTATTGTCCAAAGAAAAGTTTGACTCTGAAATTAAGTCTGAAGACAAAGGTGAAGGCTTGACTGTAAGGGGTCGTTCACTTGAAACAGAGAGTAGCAATAAAAAATCTAGATCCAAGTCCAAAGGACGTAAGTCCAACAAATCCTGTAAGTACTGCAAGAAGCAGGGTCATGATGTGACTGAATGCTTCAAGTTGAAAAACAAGCAAGAGAGAGAAAAGAAGTCCGCTGAAGCTAGTGTTGTTGAAAGTGATTCAGATGGTGATGTGTTGTTATCTGTTAGCTCCGGTGAGAAACGGAGTGAAACCGAGTGGATTTTGGACTCTGGTTGTACATTCCACATGTGTCCCCACAAAGATTGGTTCATCTCTCTGGAACCGGTTGATGGTGGAGTTGTCTTGCTGGGTAATGATACCCAATGCAAGGTTAGTGGAATTGGAAGTGTTCAGATTAAAACTCATGATAACGTTGTCAGGACTCTTACCAATGTTCGGTATATTCCTGATTTGAAACGCAATCTGATATCATTGGGCACCTTGGAATCTCTGGGGTGCAAGTACACAGCTGAAGGTGGAGTTTTGAAGGTCATAAAAGGCTCTCTTATTCTTATGAAAGCTTCTCGTTCTGGAAGCTTGTATGTCTTGCATGGCAGTACTGTGACGGGTTCAGTAGCGGTATCCTCATCGATGTCTGATGCGGATCTCACTCAATTATGGCATATGCGTCTGCGGCATATGAGTGAGAAAGGCATGCATCTCCTGAGCAAAAAAGGCCTCCTTGGTGGTTCAGGTACGGGTAAATTACAATTTTGTGAGCATTGTATTTTTGGGAAACAAAAGAGGGTTAGTTTCTCTACTGCTACACACCGTACCAAAGATGTTTTGGAATATATACATTCCGATTTATGGGGACCAACTAAATTCCAGTCCCTGGGAGGCTGTAGATATTTTATGTCTATTATTGATGACTTTTCTCGCAAAGTCTGGGTCTATTTCCTGAAACACAAAAATCAGGCATTTTCTATTTTCAAGAAGTGGAAAATACTTGTTGAGACTCAGACAGGTAAAAAGGTCAAGAAGCTCAGGACAGACAATGGCTTGGAGTTCTGTGAGTCAGATTTCAATGACTTTTGCGCGGCAAATGGAATTGCCAGGCACAAGACCTTGCCTGGTAAACCCCAGCAAAATGGTGTTGCCGAACGTTTGAACAGGACTCTATTAGAAAGAGCTCGTTGTATGCTCTCTAATGCTGGGTTATGGAAACGGCGTGATTTTTGGGCCGAGGCCGTTTCTACTGCTTGCTATTTGGTAAATAGATCTCCACATTCATCCCTTGATTTCAAAATTCCAGAAGAAGTTTGGTTAGGTAATCCTGTTGACTACTCTATCTTAAGAGTTTTTGGATGTCCTGCTTATGCTCATTCTAGTACGGGTAAATTAAACCCGAGAGCTGTTAAATGCATTTTCCTTGGTTATGCCTCTGAGTCAAAAGGGTATCGTCTATGGTCTTCTGATTCTCAGAAAATCATTCTGAGTCGAGATATCACTTTTGATGAAAATGCACTACTTTCTTCTGGAAAAGTTCCCAGTACAGGTGAGACGCAAAGTACTGGTGAGAATGTGGAGTTTGAGTTCAGGCCTATTGATAGTATTGCTACCACCGATGGTAATACTAAAGATGATGCATTTACTAGCACCGCACCTCTCGTCGAGCCACAACGAGAGTATTCCATTGCTATGGATCGTCCTAGGAGGACAATTAAAAAACCTGCTAGGTATGCTAGTGATGATGAAACCAACATGGTTGCTTATGCTCTTTCAGTCACACAGGAAGTTGATGGTGATCCATCCTGCTATTCTAAGATTCTTCCTATTGCTAAGTTCAAGCAGTGCTTGAGTTTAGTCGGCTGTTCCAGTTGTTAATTCCACGATGGATTTAATCCAAGGTGGAGATTGTTAGAATATGTGGCTCAATTCCATAATTAATGGTGTATATTTTGCTCAGCATAATTCACCGTGGAACGCAGCACGTCACTTGTACATGTACTCCACGTCTTCTCCGACTTTGGTGCTTCTCCGCATGCATGCCGCATCTTTAGTTCTTTCCTAATGTATAAATAGCTAGCTTAACTTTCTAATTCAATGCATCAATTCTTACATCAATTCATATATTCATTCCTTTGTTTTTTTCTCTTACGTAGCATATATATATATATATTATATTCATTCTTTATATTCTTTTATGTTATAATATATATATTTCCCTTATTCCTAATTCTTTTGTCATTATTTATATTTTCCCTATTATTTAACTTCTATAATTCTCAATTTTCGATTCTTCGCTTCCGCATTATTCCGCTATATTCCTAACATATATATATATATATATATATATATATATATATACACACACACACACACACACACACACACACATATAGAGTTGCACTTTGGTGCAAATGGCACGCTCAAGAGCGAAATGCGAATGCCTGCTATTCGTCCACGTGTCCAGATCTAATGGATGAGAAACACTGTTTTTAAAAAAATGTGGTGGCATTTTCGTAAATAGTTAAACATCGAAGTGCAAGTAAAATGTATTATAGGTGCAAGTAAAATGTATTACAAGTGCATGTAAAATGTATTATAGGTGCAAGTAAAATGTATTACAAGTGCATGTAAAATGTATTATAGGTGCAAGTAAAATTTACACTGAGCATCAGTACTAATTGCACCTATAGTTATAACCAGATGCGCATATACTTATAAGTAGTTGTACCTAGGTGCATGAATGTTTGCAGGTGGTTTTCACGGGTACTAACTACCCGCTGAATTCCCCGCAAGAACAAAAGTGATGCCAAACAGAACGAACTCAGATCAATAAATATTAACATGGTAAAATTACATGCACTTGTAGGTGAAAGTAGGTGCACTTGTAAGTGAATTTACCTGCACTTTTTACTTGCAAAGGTGCACCAACTACTTGCACTTATCACACATTTACTTGCACCAAAGTTTGAGTTATTTACAAAAGTGCCACCGCGTCATTTTTTAAAATTCGATCTGATTCGTTGATATGGACAAGTAGATGGCTGGCATGCATTCGCATTTCTCTCCTAGGCGCTTATTCGCACAGGAGTGCGACCTTATATATATTTTTAATATACTAAAAGTACATTATTCGTGTACTGAATATACATTATATAAAATAATATATTTTTAGTACTCAAATAATATATTTTTCTTAGCCAAGCACCTTGTGCTCGGATGACATGTAGTAATCTCTCCCATATGGGAAGTTATGAGATCAAACCTCAAACATATACTACAATGTAATAGAGTCAGTAACATAAAAAAAAAAAATTTTCTAAATACAAGTCATATTTTAATATTTTTTTTGAAGGTTTTAAAGACGATATATTAATGAAAAAACTGAATGATAGAGTAGGAGGGACAGAGTCCCAGTACATAGATTGCTCCTGATCAAAAGCTAGCGAAGCTAAAGTATGAGCATAAAAATTAAGAGTTCTAGAAACATAACTTAAAGAACACTTTGTAAATGACGATATAGCTGTCCTACATTGGTCAGCAATGATCCCAAGGTAAGAGTAGTTAGCCGTGGGACTTGAGTGTAGAGTATTCCGTAATTCCAAGCAATCTGTTAAAACATCCACTTCCATGATATCTCGATCTTTGAGCCAAGATAGCGCCTCCTTGCATGCTAGTGCCTCGGCCATAATAGCCGAGAAAGCCCCCGAGAGCTTTCCATTTGCTGTCGTAACAAATGCACCGTGGTGAGAGAGGAGTACCACTCCATAAGCAGGATATCCTCCCTACTACAGATAATTTGATTATGAGGCGGGTGGAGGTTGAACCGGTTTGCCCAATGTGTAGAATGGTGCAGGAAAACGCCCGTCATATTTTAATATAAATATATTATTTATATATTTAATATACATTATTTAATAATATGGTCAGAGTATAGTTCACATAATAATGATTGCTTTAAGTAACCTAACGTCATGATTGAATATGCATGCGGTCATTATATTGTCGGGGACAAATAGCCGCAGCCGCCATGAATAAACAACGAAGCAATTGTCGTGGTGACGGAAGCAGAGAGCTAATCAAAATAAAACTCCGTATCTATATATAAATTACAGAGAAATTAAAGCGGCCGGCGTCGGGATTTAAAAAATAGAATGGGCTCACCAGAGTGCAACATTCATCGTAAAAAGACGGAAGAGCCGCCATGGATGAGGTTGGAATAAGCTACAGCGCAGCAGCCGTTGACTTTGATTCTCATATACTAACCTCCATCATATCACTTCTTTCCATGTATAAATACTTGGTGTTAGCTAGCCGTAACACCTCAAACCATCTGGGAATTTGAACGTAACAGTCACAGAACACCAAATTAAAAAATGGCAACTCAACCGGTGATCAAAGTCGTCGCCCTCTGCGGTTCCCTCCGCAAAGCTTCTTACAATCGCGGTCTCATCCGCGCCGGTAACGCTCTCATCTCATCTTCCCCTGCCATTAATCATTGATGAATTAGTATATCTACTCCATTAAGCAATCTCTGATTATATATATGTATATAGCGATGGAGATTTGCAAGGAATCAATCAACGGGATGGAGATAGAGTACGTGGATGTATCGCCCTTACCGATGCTGAACACCGATCTCGAGGGAGACGACGGGACATTTCCACCGGAGGTGGAGGAATTCCGCCGGAAGATTCTCGGAGCCGATAGCGCACTCTTCGCTTCTCCGGAAAACAACTTCTCCGTCGCTGGTACGTTCTAAAAGATCAAATTAACGGCGAATTGAAACTTGAAATTAAACCTAACACTAAATATACCACAATTATGTACTTACTGTTGTTTTACTTTGTATCAGCACCTTTGAAAAATGCGATTGATTGGGCGTCTCGGCCGCCGAATGTGTGGGGTGACAAGACGGCGGCAGTCGTGAGCGCCGGAGGATTCCTAGGGGGAGGAGTAGGGCAGACCCACCTACGGCAAATCGGAGTTTTCCTGGACCTCCATTTCATCAACAAACCTGAGTTTTTCCTGCAGGCATTCGAGCCTCCTGCAAAGTTCGATGCCGACAGTAACTTGATCCATGAGGCCACCAAGGAGAGGCTGAAGAATACCCTTTTATCCTTGCAGAAATTCACACTGCGCCATCTAAGCAAGACTGAATAATTTGAATGAGTATAAGAAACGAAATTCAGCTCTCTTATTCCCCTTTTTTTTGAGTGTGAAATAAAAGGACTTAACAGTCTGGGTTTGTGTTAGAGTGCGTTTAGAAATCAAGAAAATATTTTCTAGACATAAAATATTTGTATTTTCTATGTGGTTGCATTTTAAAAAATTGTCATAATGTTTATAGTTCATTTTTTGAAAAATGAATAAAATTATATAATTAAACATTTTAATTATTATTAGTCATCATATCTTCCTACAACCATCCAACCAGGGACGGAGGTAAGTGTATGTTTAGGGGGGCCTTGGCTCCCCTCCCCCACCCCAAAATTTTTTAATATTATATATGTATTAAATTTTTTTAAAAAAATATTATATAGAATTTTAAAATTTTGTTATTTTTTCAAAATATTTGGCCCCCCTCCACTTAATTAATCTTAGAGGTAAAGTTATAATTTTTTCATCTTCTCAACTTTTTCAGTTCTCTCCTATTTCAAATTATGTATTCCATATATTGTTGACTCACATTCAAATTAAATTTCATTTAACCTACTTACTAGTTTCTCTGCGTAGAACCATGCATATATGCGGCAGATACGTTATAATAAGATAATTTGTCATTAACAAAATCTATGCATATTTTTCAAGTTAATTTTTATTTATAACTACTTGTTTGGTTAATTTTTGTTTCATATTCTATTGTTTATCTTAAATAATTGTTTTGTTTGATTCTAAATCATGGATATCAAGTGCATTTGTTTGATTAATTATGTAAATTTGTGGTTGTGTGATAAATTTTGTATTTAATTTAAAATGCATAATAATGTAACAATTGTGTAGTATATGTATTTGAGAAAACAATTGCTATTATGTTATGTTGTGAAGAGGGTTTTTCAAGAAATAATCAATAGTCTTTTAAAACATGCGTGAATGTTTTCATTCTTTCAACCGTACAATGCAAAGTAATGTGCATTGAAAAGCATATTGCAAAATAATTTAATATATATTTAATTATAAATAATTTATTCTAAACTTTATTGAATTTGTAATGTAATGATTATTTTGAGATATGTTAACGGGATATCAATGTATTTAATTTAGTACTTCAATCGTAGTTCGGCCCCCCGCATTGTTCCGTCCTGGCTCCCTCCCTGCATCCAACTCTTCTAGCGTCTTCTCAAACTCTTCTTCTTCTTCCTGCAAGTATTATTAATCATCATCTTCTTCCTGCAACCATCATTTCGTCCCTAATTATTATTAATCACACCCTAAACCTAATTTGACTCCTGCAAAGGTTGGAGTTTGGCAACTTCTTCTCAATTCCTTGGCAGCAGTTTGTTTTCAGTGGTACATAGCTTCCTGTGCTAGCACCACGCCGCCACTGCCTCCACCGCGCCCAGCCGCCACAGCCTCCACCGCGAATGTGAAACAAAATGACTTAATTATCTGTGTTTGTCTTATTGTCTTTTTTTTTTTTTTTTTTTTTCCTTGTAATATTTAGGGCGTGTTGGGTTGATAGGTTTTGCTCATAGGAATAGGTATGGAAGTGAATGTTATTGTTTGGTTGATAGGTTTTCAGAACATTACTATGAGTTTCGAATACCCATCAATTGAAAAATTCATATATCCAAATAAAATAAGAGTTTCATTCCCTTATTCATTCTCAAGTACTACTATTAGTAATTATTCCCATTCCACCATATTACCAAACATGTTAAATACTTTCACCAAAATTCATTACCATTACTAAGTATTTGATACCCATTTCAATTCCGATTCTCATGTGCGAACCAAACACACCCTTAATTCATATATATATATATATATATATATATATATATATATATATATATATATATATATATATATATATATATATATATATATATATATATATATATATATATATATATATATATATATATATATATATATGCATTTCGATTTTCTTTTGTCAACAAAATACTATGTACCAATAATATAATAGGGTGTTTGGTAAATGATTGATAGCTGACAGTTGATTGGTTTAACTGGTATTTGATAGCTGATTGTATTAACTGGTTTGACCAGTTGATTGTATTAAGTGATTATAAAAAAGTGGACTTTGTATTTCGTTTGAATTGGACTTTGTTGTTTTCATAGAAGTTGTATCTCTTTAAATTATCTTTCCAATTAATACCATTAGAATCACTTGATTTGGAAATTCTTACGATGAGATATGCTTAAAATACCAAGACGTTGCCTGACAGAAAAGGAGATCAGAATGTTGTCACGTTGACACTCACGACGTGTAGTGAGTGTCAGCATGAGCCTTGATCTTCATTCCAAATTACATATTTCTTCATCTCCTTTATTCCTTTGGGTTTCAAGTCATGCCATGATACTTCCAACTCGCTCTTTTTCAATTTCATGACTTCTCCAGACTCCTGGAACATTCCTTTGTGCCAAGATGACTTTAGAACATCCAATTGAGCTCCAAAGCATATGTTAAATCGATCCTTCTTGCTTGAACAACAGAAATTGTACCTCATTGCAAAAATGGAAAAAATGAGGATCCTTTTAAACATAATGTCTACATTCTTTATAGTAGGGCTGGGCATTTTGGTTCGGTTTATCCGAACCGAAGTACCGATCGGTACTCGGTTTAAGGAACTCGATCGGTTCAGTTAAAACCCAAATTGAACCGGAAAATTGATCGGTATTTTTTTTTTTTTAATAATAGATATATAATATAATATAATATACTAAATGTTCAAGGTGAGGTTTGAACCTGGCCTTGACCATCAAATTAAAAAAAAAAAAACTTTACCTACTAAGCTATAAGTACATTTGTGTTAATGTTTACGTTTGTATGGTAATAAAGGGATACATTTTTCATTAAATGTTGTACACTTCAATTATAATGGACAAAATTGTCCCTACTACATTATTGTTAGACAAAAATACCCTTACACCGTTACTATTTAATTCTAACTTTCAGAACTCTATCATTATTATCATACACCTATATCTATAATATTTTTTTTCCTATTCTTTAATTATCATTTTATTAAAATCATTATATAATTACTTTAATTTTTGATTATATTTTATATAGGCACGCACACGCACCAATATATGTGACCGGGTACTAGATTATTATAGATACTAGTTATCCACCCGTGCGATGCACGTACCAAAAATAAAGTGTGCGTGTATGTATGTATGTATGTGTGTGTGTATATATATATATATATATATATATATATATATATATATATATATATATATATATATATATATATATATAATGTATGTAACAAAAAACAAATAACATACAAAGTTTATATATTATTAAATATCTCTTTATATACAACATTTGACGTTGAAGAAACATATTCTCCATTGTCATTGCAAATAAGTAACTTAAGACCATTTGGATTGCTAACTCTTGACAAAGCTACGTAAAGTTGTCCATGAACAAAAACAGGTTTTTTCAGTAGTAGGCCAACTGTAGAAAGCGTTTGTCCTTGGCTCTTGTTAATTGTCATAGCATACGACAACATTAGGGGGAACTGTCTCCTCTGAAATTTAAACGGTAACTTTGGATCTGATGGGGTCAACGACAATCGTGTAATCAACACCTTCGTTCCTGCATTACCGCCGAATAGAATTTTGGCTTCAACAACGTGGTCTCCTAGTTTAGAAATGACTAACCTTGTGCCATTGCACAAACCAACAGAGTGATCTATATTTCGCAATAACATAACTGGAGACCCAACTTTTAAAGCCAATGAATGGTTTGGCACACCAGAGCACTTTATCCCGTTTAAGAACTCCGGGGTGTGAAGTGCGGCAACTGAATCAGGAGTGATTTCCGTCGGACAAACTGAGTCAGAGCTAAAATATGTTCGGCATTCTGCAACATTCATATTACTCAGATACTCGTTCACTTCATCGACAACTTCAAGAGTCGGTGCTAAAATTGCTCTTCCAATTAGATAATTGCCATCATGTTGATGCTCAGAAAACATAGGGAATGTACTGTCAACAATAACACGAATTGGATCACTATTTGTCTTTAACACATGTTCTTGAGGGATTTCAACTTTTGCATGACCATCATTTGGATCACCAACCTGGCCATCACCTAACGCCGCAATCCAATTAGCAAAAGCAGCAAGGTTTCTCCTTTCTCCAGTAGAGCCCACATTTTGCAACCTCAAATTTTGAGTTAACCTCAATACCTTACAATGACTCCATAAATAAGAAGAATTAATACTTGAGCCAACAATATCTTGCCTGGTACCCTTTGGTATCACCGGTAAGATTTATCTAAAATCACCTCCAAGAACAACTGTTTTCCCTCCAAATGGCAAGTTGGAACTTGATGGATTAGCAAATCTTAATATATCATGCATTGTCCTATCTAACGCTTCGAAGCAATGCTTGTGCATCATAGGTGCCTCATCCCAAATAATTAAGCTACATTTAATTATTAACTCCGCTAGATCACTGCCTTGTGAAATATTGCAAGTGGAATCCTCGTTCACAGCGATTGGTATGGCAAAACGGGAATGTGCAGTCCGACCACCAGGCATGAGTAACGAAGCAATTCCGCTGGATGCAACGTTCAAAACAATTTTACGTTTTGAGCGTAGTGTAGCTGATAAGGTTTTCCACACAAATGTTTTACCTGTAACACCGTACCCATAAACGAAAAACAAACCTCCATTATTGCCTGCGACTGATTCCAACACGGTAGTGTGCACTTGTTTTTGCTCAACAATTAATTTAATTTCTCAACTAATGACAAATGCTCCTGTGCCAATAATGAACAATCGTAATTCAATTCCTCAGCTATCAAACGGTTGGATGCGACAACTGGCACATCGGTTTCAGGAACAGGCATACACGGAAAGTCTTGCAAGCTCTTACCCCACAACGATAACAATTTTTCCAATTCAGTAAGCCCATATCTTTTCTTCTCACATTCAGGCAACACAAATGCTGCACATCATCACCATTTTAAATAAACTGTAAGTACAGTTAAATCCTGTTGAAAACACTTCGTAACTATTATATTGAGTCTAAGTAGTTTAATAAAGACAGT